ACAAAACATTGACACTTTGGGCCCAATTTGGACATTTCCACTTAGGAGTGTACTCACTTTTGTTGCCAACGGTTTAGACATTAATGGTTGTGTGTTGAGTTATTTTGAGGGGACAGCAAATTTACACTGTTATACAGGCTGTACACTTACTACTTTACATTTTAGCAGAGTGTCATGTCTTCAGTGTTGCCACATTAGAAGATATAATAAAATATTTACAAAAATGTGAGGAGTGTACTCACTTTTGTGAGATACTGTATGTGACTACTGGATTTCAAAGTATCAATACCAGCATTTTCTGTGCAACTGTGTAGACAGAGCACACTGTGGGCCAAAGGAGAGCCATTTTTTTGGTCAAACTCATCTACAACAGTTTAACAGAAAACAGTGGAACCAGAGACTTCTAACACCATAACTACTACAATTATATGCCAGACTCATGACATTTGAACGTCATGCAAATTGCAGTTGTATTTGCCACTCGTAGAACCCAAATCAGCTACTTTGCAATAACAGGGCCCCAGGTGGTCTATGACTGTCTGGTGCTGAAAGGGTTAAACAGCTCTCAGCCCACAATTCCAACAAACACCTGCTTTGCGTGAGACTTATTACCAGCACTGCTGATGCAGCATCGACCTCGCAAAATAATATGAATTTTAGTCAAAGGCAATTTAGGAAAGATGTTTCTTACAAACCTCTTTTGATTAAAGTAGTAAAATTAATTTCAGCAAAGGTCATTTTTTCCCCCTTTAAATTAAGAAGTTTGCCGTAATGACATTTTCATTAAGTATTTTCTCCGCAAGCACTTTATATCGTCCCTCTCTCTCTATCGCAAATCTGCTGTGTAGTCATATACAGCCTACCATAAACAGACTTAATTTGTCTGTCTGAGGTGCTGCTCCAATTCCACGTCCCCAATTACCATCCTTTACCGGAATCCTATCAATGTTAAACCAATTTAAAAAGCGTGCAATACATTTGTAAGCCGACACTTACTTATTTGTTTCAATACACAGCCAATATTAAGGATCCTGGAAGAATATTTTATCTTATGACCGTATTCTTGCCGCGTTACAATGCAGGTGATATTTAACCTTTTCCAGCCCAAAGTGTGAGTCAATGTAGGACGTACAATTATTACTTTAAAGGGACACTCCAGATCTCAAAAGCACTTTAGCTTGTTGAAATGCTTTGTGTGTGAAGAGTGTGTCCTTGGTTTTCATTTTCTAAAAAGTGAGGATTTCAATAGAAATTGGCAGTTTTAGTAATTAATCTTGTTACACCCACTTTGGTTTCAAACAGACAACCGGTCCTATTACTTCCTGGTTTGGTTAGCTCAGTGGAAATAAACTCAAGAGGCAGCAATTGCCCAGAGCACCTGCCTTGCAAAGACCTCTCATTGAGCTGCACTAGGAAGTCTGTGATTTGACAGAAGGTCTGGGCGGGGTTAGAAGGGGAGGGTTTGAAAAGGCAGCAAACAAGAAATCTGCAGCTTTTGCAAGATGTTTTTAAATATATCACGATGAAAAAATGTATAATTATACAAAGGTTTTATTTTTTGAGTTTGGGCAATGGAGTGATCTTTTAATGATCAACTGACAAAACTGAACCATGTAGGTTTTTTAATGTAGTTTGCCCCCCTACCCCCCTTTATAAAATTATGTATATTCACAAAAAAAATAAACAATATGTTTATAATGTTCCATGTTTATACTAGAAAGTTAAAGGAACACTATAGTCACTATGAGCATTTCATCTCTTTGAATTGGTTATAGTGCCTGGAGTGCCCTGGCACTGTCCCTCCATTCAGTGTTGCGCCATGTTCGTGCAGTATGCCACAAAATAAGAGTCCCTGGCCACCCACAGTCCGGCCCCTTCAGTATGTGTAGCTAAGGCAGAGATTACACACTTCCTTGTTGTCATACCCATTCATACCGTCAGTTGGAACTCTGACAGGCTAAAAGCAGTCAGCTGACACACTCAGCCAATCATAGCTCCCCATTGCTGCTCAGGCTAATACTTCCTTATTAGCCAAAGCAGCACAGAGGGGATGGATTGCCGGAGACTCTTGTTTAGCATTAAAACTTTAAAACTTTAAAAACTGTTTAATGCTGATAGAAATGATGGGACCAGAGGACTCCAGACACTATAACCAGTTTAATGAGATGAAGCAGATACAGTGCCTACGGTGTCCCTTTAATCAAATCAACTAATATATTTTTGGATAAGCTTTTAAAAGTAATAAGCAAAGTTATTCACCAAAGTGAGAATACAAAGTGAATTCAAAGTAAATTTTAGATCTTCAACTCCAGATATGTGCACAACGGAGCGCGCGTGCAGGAGCCGGTGCATGTGCACGATGGGCACAAAGTCCAAGGCTTCACAATGAGAAGCCTCTAATTGGTTATTTCACTATGAAGAGACTAAAAGTCTCTTCCGTGAAAAAAGGGGAGAGTTTGCTAAGGCTGCAGTTCATAAGATGTGCAGCCTCTGCAAGCTATTTTAAGATATAGCTCCAATGAAAATATGCGTGTATTCACTGGAGGTATATCTACTAAATAGTGATACTTTTGTTACTCTGAGAGCTCCTTTAACGTGAAATTATTTTTACATTTTCTCTTTAGTGAATTATCCTGTTAATATTTTGAAACACATTCTGTTTTAAAATATTTTATTTGATATAGTTTTACATGTAATACATTTATTGATTTTATTATTTTAGAAAATCATTTTAAAGATTTTCCAAAATATCATATAATTTTAAAAGCTCATCCAAAAATATTAAATCACACATCATTTATAATACCTACAGAGCCAATGTATTCAGAATTATTCAATAAAGTATGGCTTGTTGGTTTTTCAAAGTAATGAGGATTTTCAAACAGCAGATCAAAATAACTAAAGCGGAAAATATTGCTGGCAAGTTTGGAGAACTTTTTCAGTTTGGTCTAAAATTCAATATTCACTTTGAATTCCAGATAACTGAAACATTAGTGAACAACCTTGTGAGTGTTATTCACTAACAGGGTTATTTACTAAGGTGAGAATTCAAGGTCAATTTCAATATTAAGGCAACATTTTCCCATTAGGGGGACACTATAGGCACCAAAACAACTTTAGCTGAATGAAGTGGTTTTGGTGTATAGAACATGCCCCTGCAGCCTCACTGCTCAATCCTCTGCCATTTAGGATTTAAATCCCTTTGTTTATGAATCCTAGTCACACCTCCCTGCATGTGACTTGCACAACCTTCCATAAACACTTCCTGCAAAAAGTAATCTAATGTTTACACTTCCTTTACTGCAAATTCTATTTAATTTAGAATGTCTTTTCTCCTGCTCTGTGAATCACTTTTTGACCCTGCAGGGGTCATAATCCTGTATGTGATTAGGTTCAATTTACAGAGCAGGAGATTAGAGTTGAGCGAACCCGAACTTTACGGTTTTTGGACCCCGGACCTGAACACAGACATTTCAGTGTATTTTTGGGTTGGAGTTCGGTGTTCAGCGCTTTAATGGCGCGTTTTGAAAGATTGCAGGGCAGCCAATCAACAAGTGTTTGACTCGTGTGCCCTTAGATGCCATCACAGCCTTGCCTATTAATGGCATGGCTGTGATTGGCCAGTGCAGCATGTGACCCAGCCTCTATATATAGGCTGGAGTCATGTAGCGCCGCACGTCACATGAGCTCTTATTAGTGTAGGGAGAGGATGCTGCATCTGTGAGGGACAGATAAGGAAAGAATTCTGGTGTTGAATCTGCAAACTACAGCGATTATTTTTGTGGGTGCTATACTACATATTTGTACCCTGCCCTGAGCCCAGTGCCACAGAGAGTGCAGTGCACTTGCAACTGCATGTGTGCCAGGCACATGACTTTAATCCTGTTCTGGTAGCTCAGTGGGCAACATCTAGGCATTTTTAAATACTGCAATTTTTTTGGTGCTAAATAATACATTTGCGTACTGCATTTCTTGCAGTCTAATAAAACCCTTAAATACTACTGTTATATTGTTGGTTTAAAAAATCACACTTTCTTGTGCTAAATAGTACATTTGCAGCCTGCGGTTCACTTCATATCTGAGAGTCAACTTTGGTTAAATCGCACTTTGAAAAATTCACATTTCTTTGGTGCTAAAAAGTAAATTTGGGGTGTGCACTTCATATCTGAGAGTCAAATAGAACCGTCAAATACTGTGGTTAAAGGGGAGTTTTAAAAATTCTATTTCTTTTGGTGCTAAATAGTACATTTGCTGCCTGCGGTGCACTTCATATCTGAGAGTCAAATAGAACCGTCAAATACTGTGTTTACATCGCACTTTGAAAAATTCACATTTTTTTGGGTGCTAAAAAGTACATTTGTGGCGTGCACTTCATATCTGAGAGTCAAATAGAATCGTCAAATACTGTGGTTACAGCGCAGTTTTAAAAATTCAAATTTTTTGGGTGCTAAATAGTACATTTGGTGTGTGCACTTCATATCTGAGAGTCAAATAGAACCGTCAAATACTGCTGTGACAATGCAGTTTGACTAATTCACATTTCTTTGGTGCTAAATAGTACATTTGGGGCCTGCACTTCATATCTGAGAGTCAAATAGAACCGTCAAATACTATGGTTACATCGCAGTTTTACATTCAAGTAACAGATGGAGTGATCAAAGGAACCATAACCGATTTAATGAGCCATTTGCAGTTTCACTGTAGCGGCTGTGCGCGCTTTCGGCATTCTCACCCTGCTGCTGCTCGCCTGTCTGCGCTGCAGTGTAACTTCGGCCTTCCCGCTCACCGCCTAATATGTGACGTGCCCACAAGGTGGAACTCCACCTTGCACATGCTGGAGAGACTGCGAGCAGCAGCAGGCGATAGTGGAGCTTCAGCTGCAGCACGCACGGGTCAGTCGCTCTGCACCAGACTTGCCCTCCAATAGATCCTCGTTAAAGGATTTAAAGTGTACTCATTCCAATTACAGGACATCGAAAGAGCCCTGTATTGTTATTTATCGTCACTACCTCCCCGCGCCGGGAGTGGGTAATTTGCGCTCCTGCTGCCTTCCTTGGATGTGGTATCCGTTTCTCAGGCTCCCTCTCCAGAATCAAACCCTGATTCCCCATTACCCGTGGTCACCATGGTAGACACAGAAAGTACCATAGAAAGTTGATAGGGCAAACAGCCGAATGCGTCATCGCCGTCATGGGGACGTGCGATCGGGCCGAGGTTATCTAGAGTCACTAAAGTTCCTGCGCAACGACTTTCGAGTTGCCCACATTATAACTTGTGCTGATTACTGGGTGGCCACCCTGCTGGATCCCTGTTACAAGGACAACGTGCCATCCTTAATTCCCTCACTGGAGCGTGATCGGAAGATGCGCGACTACAAGCGCACACTGGTAGACGTGCTGCTGAGGGCATTCTCAACTGACACCGGGGGCTCAGTGGAAGCACAGGGCGAAGGCAGAGGAGGAGGAAGAGGTAGCCAACACAGCTGGGGCACCACCAGCACCTCACAAGGCAGGGTTAGTATGGCCAAAATGTGGAAAAGCTTTGTCAGCACGCCACAACAACCAGCACCAGCTGACATGGAATGTCTTAACAAGAGGCAGCATTTCAGCAACATGATGGAACAGTACGTGTGCACATGCCTACACGTACTGACTGATGAGTCTGCCCCATTCAACTTCTGGGTCTCCAAATTGGGCACATGGCCTGAGCTTGCCCTTTATGCCTTGGAGGTGCTGGCCTGCCCTGCAGCCAGTGTATTGTCTGAATGTGTGTTTAGCACAGCAGGGGCGTTATCACATACAAGCGCAGCCGCCTGTCCACAGCCAACATGGACAAGCTCACGTTTATTAAAATGAACGAGGCATGGATCCCACCAGACTTGTCTGTACCTTGTGCAGAACAGACATTTTTTACCGGCCTCACCCAGCCATTGTTATACTCAAGTGCACTTATTGTTTGTTTTCTTTTTTTATATGTCCCAATATTTTGGGGGCTACCCCAATTTAAAAAAAAACAGTGTTGGCTACCTCCTCCACCGCCGCTTCCGCCTACACCGCCACGGTCACCACCTTCTCAACCTCCTATTCCACATCCACCTCCTCCTCCTAGAGCAGGGTGCAAAAGCGGAGCGGCCATCCCCTAGACAGCACGCCTGCTTCTGCCCACCGTAACCAGGGACCGAGCACACCATAGCCAGCTCCAAGGAGTTCCCTGGTGTGGCAAACCTAGCCACTTGGACAATAACCAGAGACTGTGCCTTTAAGGGTTGCCACTAGGTCGGGCGAGATATGCGCTGTACACATATGTAGATGTTAAGGTATTTTCCGTGTTGCCTGTAATACTGTTTCCGCCGAATGCAATTGGCGGTTTTGTATGGGGATTTTCTTTCGTTTCACGAACGGCACTTTAGAAAGCCGTTCGTGAACCGAACGCGATACCCCCTAATAGCCCACACACTTAGAGGCGTGTGGCGCTAGTTAACCGATTGCAACATTGTTGCAATCGGTTATTAGAGGCTCTCCTGGGTGGCCGTCGTTCGACTACCGACCATGCGGCGGTCGGCCATCTTGGATCCCTTGTTCGTCAGCGGGTTCGTGTCGTCGAACGCATACTACTACCAATAGTTATTCGACGGCACGAACACCGCTGAGCCTCCCAGACGTTCGGGAGTTTCAGGACCAAGTTCACCCAAAGCAATCGGTTCCTTTTGTGGGTTTTGTAAGAAATGTGTTTTCTGTGCGGCGTTCGGTTAATTTGGCTGGGATCTGAGCAGCAATCTCACGAATGATGCGCCCAGACCCCAGCTATCTACCGAACGTCCATTCGTGTAAATCCACCGTGTATTTTAAAAGTTATGTATTTTTATATGAATTGCCGGTTCTGCTGCACGAGGGGATAATCCCCTTAACGGTGCATTCTGGGAGGATGATCCCTCTCGTGCAGCAGTGCCTGATGGGAGAAATATGTTATACTGTAAGTCCCCCATGTAGTCCCCTCTGGGAATGCCCCTGGGAAGGGACTCAGGAGACCCCTTGCATGGGGACTTGTATAAATTGTCGTGCTGAATAAAGGATTGTCAGTTGACTCCCAAAACTGTGTCTCGTCCGGTTATTGGGAGGTTGGGGATATTGCCTTGGTGTTTTCAGCGCTTGACTGTGGATTCGTTCTGGACCAGCGGAATTCGTGGATTTTATATTGGCGTTCCGCTACAATTGGTGGCAAGCGACGGGATCCAACTCTACAGCCGAATACAGCGCATTCGAATGAAAGGAATTACCGAACGGAAAGGCAATTCGTATGAAACAAGCAGACGAAAGCGATCAGTGAATGGGGACTGATTACACGGCGTTAAAGAGACAGACGCTAAAGGAGCTGCTGGAGGCTAGAGGGAAAAGCGCTAGCAATAAATCGAAAGCAGTCCTGATTGCAGAGCTAATGGAGGGCGACCAAGCACACAGCAGTCCACCCCCACCTGCCAGAGAGGAAACACCGTACCAGAGGGAACTGAGAACCCGGCTGGAATTTGTACCACAGCCAGTAACCCTGGACATCTTAACTATACTGATGGCGGACGTCCAGGATTATATTATGGCACAGCAACACCAGAGGTCACCATCCAGGGCAGAATCCATCGCCAATTCATTCTGCGCTCCAGTGAAGCAGAAAATACCTTACCAGGCATTTAAAGCATTCTGCGAGGAGAAAGACGAGATTGACGGATACCTGCAGGATTTTGAACGGTTGTGCGACCTACATGATCTAGAACAGGCTATGTGGGTACCCCTACTGGCAGGCAAGTTGGCAGGACGAGCAGCCGAGGCGTATCGCGCTGTGCCCAGAGAAGATAGCAAGGACTATTTTAAAGTTAAGAGGGCAATTCTGGAGAGGTATGCCATAACCCCGGAGGCATACCGGCGTAAATTTCGAGGATTGAGGAAGCCCGAGAAAGATTCCCACGCTGAGTGGGCACATAAGCTCGACCAAGCGTCGCAAGGATGGATTCAGGCGAGCCAAGCTACCACAATGGAGGAACTGCGCCAGCTCATCTTGCTGGAACAATTTTTTAACGGACTGTCACCTGAGGCACAAGAATGGGTAAGGGACAGGAAACCCCTCACCCTAACCGAAGCCGCCCGGTTGGCGGATCAGCATTTTGACGCCCGAAGGCATCATGGGCTTCCCAACAGGGCTCCCCTGAGACCAGCTGTACCACACCACCCAACCATCTCCACACCCGCCAACGCTACTCCATTCCGGCCACCATCAGGAAACCCCCCACCGCCATCACGCTACAATGGCAGGGCCAACATACAATGCCATACCTGCCGGCAGTGGGGGCATATGTCCCGGGAGTGCACCCAGAATCGGAGCAGGCAGGCGTGGAACCAAGTACGGCAAAACTCCGCGCCAAGGGCAGTGGCCCATTTCTACCACACCGAACCGGACCACTCGGAGCTGACAAGTCTATCAACCGAAGAACCATTGGGGGTTCTGTACGAGGTGATGTCGGTGCAAGCCACGGACAACCGGCAGCATCATCGCCAAGTTGTATTTGTGGGAGGGAAAGAAGTGCAGGGGCTGCGGGACTCGGGAGCCACCTTGACCTTAGTGGCCCCTCATTTAATTCCAGATACGGCCCACACTGGCGGATCAGTGGCAGTCCGGGTAGCAGGGGGAGCTATGTACCGGTTACCCACGGCCAAAGTGCATTTGAACTGGGGTGCTGGGGAGGGGGTTGTAGAGGTGGCCATAATGAAGAAACTACCGGCCGATGTTGTTTTGGGGAATGACTTGGGCCCGATGACTTCTGCGTTTCTTCCCCAGGCCCCTTCCCAAGAGGCGCATCCGGTAACCACCCGGCAACAGGCTCGCACCACGGCATCCCCCGCACACTCTGAGGCTCAGGTAAGACACCATGACCCCCCCTTGACCGACATGACTTGGGACACCCCGACCACATTTGAAGCTGAGGTTCAGACAGACCCCACACTGCAGGTGTACCGAGATAGGGTAGACACGGACCAGGTGGGGCGGGAGGGAGAACGGTACGTATGGGAAAAGAAGTTACTGTACCGGGTGGCGGAACGGGCCATAGGCAGCTCTGTGACGCTCCAAACCAAGCAGCTAGTAGTACCCCAGAAATATAGGCAGGAGTTACTAAGAATCGCCCATGACATCCCTCTGTCCGGCCATCTAGGGATGACCCGGACCCGGTATCGCTTAACGCACGCATTCTTTTGGCCCGGGATTTCCAAAGACGTAAGGCAATATTGTACCTCCTGTGATGTGTGCCAGAGGGTAGGCAAAAGGGGGGATCGCCATAAGGCAAAACTATGTCCCCTCCCCATAATTGAGGAACCGTTCAGCCGGGTAGCAGTAGATATAGTAGGACCACTACCAAAGCCCAGCCCCTCTGGGAAACGGTATATCCTGACCGTGGTGGATTACGCCACCCGGTACCCCGAGGCGATTGCCCTAACTAATATCCACGCGGAGACCGTAGCCGAAGCCTTGATGAAAATCTTCTCCCGAGTAGGGTTCCCACAGGAAATGGTCTCAGATAGGGGGACCCAATTCACGGCTGAGGTTACTCAGCAGTTATGGAGGATATGTGGCATAAAGCCGATCATTAACTCCGCGTACCACCCGCAATCCAATGGATTATGTGAGAGATTCAACGGTACCCTAAAACAGATGCTTCGAACATTCGGAGAGACCCATAAGGACTGGGAACGATTCCTTCCCCATCTGTTGTTCGCATACAGAGAGGTGCCCCAAGAGTCTACGGGGTTTTCCCCCTTTGAACTATTGTTTGGGAGAAGGGTCCGGGGGCCGTTGGATCTCATTAGGGAGCATTGGGAGGGAGAGAGTAGTGCAGATGGGACCCCTATTGTACCCTACGTGCTGGCGTTCCGGGATCGCCTGGAGGAATTGACCCAGGCGGTGCGCACCAACCTCCAGGCCGCCCAACAACGACAGCGTCGTTGGTATGACAGAAGGGCCAGAGACCGTAGTTTTCAAGTGGGGCAGAAGGTGCTAATCCTTAAACCAGTCCGCACCGATAAACTACAGGCCGTCTGGCAGGGCCCATACCAGGTGGTAGAGCAGAGATGCGATACCACCTATGTGATCGGCCCATGCTCCGGAGTAGGGAAGAGACGCATGCTCCATGTGAACATGCTCAAACCCTACCACGAGCGGACGGAGGACGTGGCAGCTATTTGCACGCCCGCCTCCGAAGATCAGGAGAACCTGCCCCTTCCCGATCTGTTAGAGCAGGAGGAGCAGAAGGAACCCTCCCAGGGGGTTCAACTGGGGGAGCGGCT